TTTACGGTTTCAATAGGCTGACCCTTGGCCGGCAGCCGTCGAGGGGTTGTGTGGGACCGTCCAGAAGGTGGTGGTTTTGGGCTGGAAAATCTGGGGGAGTTCCTTTTGTTCTTTTTTCTTGCTTCTTCGCCTGCCGCTCAACAATTGGGAGATCGGCAACAAGGCATGGATGGTTGTGCAGGTGGGGTTTGGGCATGACCCGCTATCCGTCAATCAAATGGCAGGTACGAAAGATGGGGCCGAGAAAGTCCGATCGAGTCATTGCCCTTGGCCGCGAAAGCTGGGGACCACTGGGCTTATGAGATTGGGCTGTGATACCTTGACCTCCTGCTAGTATTTTGATGCTATTCAGACAGTACAGTACGTTGATGTCCGGGTGGGACCTTGACCTTGCTGAATTATATGTTACCGTCCAAAATACACAGCGCCACACAGCATGGCGCCCTCGACGATACCAATCACATAGCCCAGACGCAGCCATAATGTACATGCAGATGCATGGGACGACTAGCCGTTGGCCCTGTAGGCCTTGTTTGGTCCTTGTCGTCGGAATTATTGCGACAACCTCCCCGGCCGTCTCAGGTAGCGAGAAAATCAGCGTTGGGGAGCCCCGACGTTGATGGTCTCGGTCCCGCGCTCCCGAAGGCAGCCCCGACGCCATGGGCTGGCTGATGGGCTCTCTGCTGCCCTGTGCTGGGATCGGTGCCGGGACGCAGGCCTGCAGGGAATGAGCCCGAGCAAACCTGGACTTGCTAGCCCAAACAAGGGCAGACACATGGCTGGCCTGTATGCCCATCGAAATTTGAGAAAAAGAAATGCCATCACGGCCAGGTAGGCATGCTGATGGATCGTCGGCCTCCGGGATCCAAAGCCCGAGGCGGGAGATCTCGATTAACGGACGAGCCACGCCGCCCCGACGCTGCAGCCCAGCTGCCAGACCGAGACTCCGCTGCACGCAGTGGGCTTACGTGGGAAGAGTACCCCAGGTGGGAATGTCCCACCTTTGCTTACGGAACTAATCGATCTAGCATAAGTGAGTTGCAAGCCCGACTGCATGTACGAGGATAAGAGGATTACCTATACACCTGGGGGGATGGGTCCTCCATGGCGTGGACATTAACCATCACGGCCGGTCTGCACACCACACGCAGCGTCATCCCATGTGCTTGGTTCTAACTCGAACTAGCACCGCTCCTCTGGTAGACTTGTAGATACCTGTGGGATAGGCCATCGGATCTTGCTCAAAAAGTGGAGAAACAGAACAGAAGGTTGGGACAACATGGCGGCACGATGCATATCCCTCTGTAATGCCAACACACTAGATCTGCTGGCTCATGTAGCAACCAGAAGCTGTATTGGTGAAAGCCTCAGCGAGGAGCATCAAGTCACAGCGGCGGAAAGCTGGAGGGGAACACGAGACCGGAGCAAAGATTGCAGGCGGGTCGGAAAATGGCTGGGAATGGGAATGGGTCGGAGCTGACAAGCACACACCCCAAGCTGGGGGTCTCAATAGCCAAAAAGAAAAAAAAAGAAAAAAAAAGGGCCGTCCGCCAATACAGGCAGGGGTGCAGTGACGTTGGCACCCCCACCCTCACAACAAGATGCATACGGCGCTGCGCGGGCCTGCACGGCCCACCCCTGCCCGAGGCGCCCCTGCCCCAACACCGAAAAAAAATAGCATTGGAAGGAGGGATGGATTTTTTTTTGCTGAGCCCAACTCGAGGGGTGGTCCGAGTGTCCGCTACAGCGCCCCATCATTGGTCTCAACTTCAAGCCTCACGCAGTGGTTTTTGGGGAAGCACGGAGGGGCGGACAGGGATCGGCCCCAAAGTGGTGAATGTGCAGACAAGGATAACTGCCGTCTGTCCCTCCGCTCCGGGCCTGCAAATTGCGTCTGCCTCCGTTACCTTCCCTCCCTCATTCCCCTCGTTTGTTCTGCAACCCGCCACAGGCACACACTTCTCGGTCTTCTGCCGCCGTATTTCCCGGCAGGACAAGAAGCAGAACATCCCCCACGCTGTCGAGTCCCCCTCCCACGCCCGCCCGTGGCTTTAATCTTGTGCCCGCCTCTGCCCGCTATAAACCGCCACTAAGCCTGGCCATAACACGACGACGCTGCTCTAGACCTTGGCAAGCCGCTCAACAAATTAGCATTCGATACCCCTCCGGCCCCACGCCGTGCCTGCCCGTAGGCAAGCAGACACCCAGCCGGCCCAGCAACACGCCATCTTCGCCTGTTGACCCAGCCGCAAACTCACCTGCCCCTCGGCCACGAATACCTGGAGCTTCCAACCGCCCACCGAAGCTAGTCGCCGCCAGAGAGCCACCTCACAAGCTCTAAGCTGGCCAAGCCCTGGTTTTCTCTGAGCTTGCAAGCTCGCTCCTCGGTTCCCAGGGGCATTTCATGACTGCGGCCGACCCTTTATTCCTCGACCCTGCGACCATCACTCTCTCCATCTCTCACACCTCGACCCGCCGCCTTCACAATGTCGGAGACGAACGGTAGCGCACCAGCTGCGAACACCTCGCGGCAGCGCAACGGGAGCAGCGTCACAGTTCCCGCCCCAAACGGCAAGGCCTCATACGCAGAGAAGCACAGGATTGCCGACCACTTCATCGGTGGGAACAGGCTGGAAAATGCCCCTCCCTCCAAGGTGAAGGAGTGGGTGGCAGCCCATGACGGCCACACCGTCATCACAAACGTGAGTTGCTTGCGTGGATGCTCCCCCTGTGCCCCCACCATATGCGTGCCGGGCGCTAGGCAAAGACACTGGCGGGAGTTGGCGGCCTAGTCCAGGGACGTGCAGGTGTGCTAACAAGACCATCCCGACTAGGTTCTGATTGCCAACAATGGTATCGCTGCCGTCAAGGAGATCCGGTCAGTTCGGAAATGGGCGTACGAGACTTTCGGCGACGAGAGGGCCATCCAGTTCACGGTCATGGCCACCCCGGAGGATCTCCAGGCGAATGCGGACTACATCCGCATGGCAGACCATTACGTTGAGGTTCCTGGAGGCACCAACAACAACAACTACGCCAACGTCGAGCTGATCGTTGATGTTGCGGAGCGGATGAATGTTCACGCTGTGTGGGCAGGATGGTAAGTTTCCCCAAAAAGTCAATTGCGGTCGTCGTGCCGTGTTTAGTGCGGGGAATACCGTCACCCAGAGACTGACAGCGCATCTGTAGGGGTCATGCCTCGGAGAACCCAAAACTGCCCGAGTCACTGGCGGCATCACCCAAGAAGATCATTTTCATTGGTCCTCCTGGCTCTGCCATGCGCTCCCTAGGTGACAAGATCTCTTCCACCATCGTAGCACAGCATGCCCAAGTTCCTTGCATCCCCTGGTCCGGCACCGGCGTTGATCAGGTTAGCATTGACAAAAAGGGAATCGTCACGGTCGACGAGGATGTCTACATGAAGGGCTGCGTCACATCATGGCAGGAAGGCCTCACAAAGGCTAAGGAAATCGGCTTCCCTGTCATGATCAAGGCTTCGGAGGGTGGCGGCGGCAAGGGTATCCGCAAGGCCCTTGGCGAGGAGGGCTTTGAGGAGCTCTACAAGGCTGCGGCCAGCGAAATACCCGGATCCCCCATCTTCATCATGCAGCTCGCTGGAAACGCGAGGCATCTGGAGGTTCAGCTGCTCGCTGACCAGTATGGCAACAACATCTCTCTCTTCGGCAGAGATTGTTCCGTTCAACGCAGGCACCAGAAGATCATCGAGGAGGCACCAGTCACAATCGCCAAGGCTCCCACATTCAAGGCCATGGAGGATGCTGCTGTCCGTCTCGGAAAGCTCGTCGGCTATGTTTCTGCAGGCACCGTCGAGTACCTGTACTCACATGCCGACGACAAGTTTTACTTCCTGGAGCTCAACCCTCGACTCCAGGTCGAGCATCCCACGACTGAGGGTGTCAGTGGCGTTAATCTGCCGGCTGCCCAGCTTCAGATTGCCATGGGTATCCCACTGCACCGTATCTCCGACATCCGGCTGCTGTACGGCGTGGACCCCAAGCTGTCGACCGAGATCGACTTTGAGTTCAAGAACCCCGATAGCGAGAAGTCCCAGAGGCGGCCGTCCCCCAAGGGCCATCTGACTGCGTGCCGTATCACCTCTGAGGATCCCGGCGAGGGTTTCAAGCCCTCAAACGGTGTCATGCACGAACTGAACTTCCGCAGTAGCTCCAACGTCTGGGGCTACTTTTCCGTCGGCACCCAGGGTGGCATCCACAGTTTCTCCGACAGTCAGTTCGGTCACATTTTCGCCTACGGCGAGAACCGGTCTGCGTCCAGGAAGCACATGGTCATTGCCCTCAAGGAGCTGAGCATTCGCGGTGATTTCCGTACCACCGTCGAGTATCTCATCAAGCTGCTGGAGACTGAGGCCTTTGAGGACAACACCATCACCACCGGTTGGCTGGATGAGCTGATCTCCAAGAAGCTCACTGCTGAGCGTCCTGATCCCATGCTTGCTGTCGTTTCCGGTGCTGTCACCAAGGCTCACCTCGCCAGCGAGCAGTGCCTAGGAGAGTACAAGACTGGCCTGGAGAAGGGTCAGGTGCCGTCCAAAGACATCCTGAAGACCACCTTCCCTGTCGAGTTCATCTACGAGGGCTTCCGGTACAAGTTTACCGTCACCCGTTCCAGCAGGGACAGCTACCACCTCTTCATCAACGGCTCCAACTGCTCAGTCGGTGTGCGACCACTCAGCGATGGTGGTCTGCTTATTCTTCTCGACGGCAAGAGTCACAACGTCTACTGGAAGGAGGAGGTTGGTGCCACCCGCCTCTCTGTCGACAACAGGACTTGTCTGCTTGAGCAGGAGAACGACCCCACGCAGCTCCGCACCCCCAGTCCCGGCAAGCTGGTCAAGTACACCGTCGAGAACGGACAGCACGTCAAGGCTGGCCAGACCTTCGCCGAGGTTGAGGTCATGAAGATGTACATGCCGCTCGTAGCTCAGGAGGATGGCACGGTCCAGCTGATCAAGCAGCCTGGCTCCACACTTGAGGCTGGTGACATCCTCGGCATCCTTTCGCTGGACGATCCCAGTCGCGTCCAACAGGCGCAGCCCTTCCTCCAGAAACTGCCCGAGTTTGGTACTGCCGTTATCACCGGCAACAAGCCTGCCCAGCGCTTTGCTCTCCTGCATAATATCCTGGAGAACATCATGCTGGGTTTCGACAACACCACCATCATGAAGGATAGCCTGCTGCAGCTGATTGCGGTGCTCCGAGACCCCGAACTCCCTTACAGCCAGTGGAATGCCCAGTTCTCTGCCCTGCACACACGCATGCCCCAGAAGTTGGAATCCCAGCTTGGACAGGTCATCGACCGCGCTAGGGCTCGCCAGGCTGAGTTCCCGGCCAAGAACTTGCAGAAGACCTTCAACAAGTTTGTCGATGAAAATGTTGCCCGCGGGGACGCCGCAATGCTCCGGTCTACCCTTGCTCCTCTTACGGATGTTCTCGATCTGTACTCTGAGGGTCAGAAGGCTCATGAGCTCAAGATCATGGCTGCCCTCCTCAGCAAGTACGTCGAGACGGAGAAGCTGTTCTCGGGTCGCCGGCAGCAGGACGAGGAGGTCATCCTCAAGCTCCGAGATGACAACAAGGACGAGATCCCGAAGATTGTGCAGACGGTGCTTTCGCATAGTCGCGTCGCCGCCAAGAGTCTTCTGGTTTTGGCCATCATCGAGGAGTACCGCCCCAACAAACCTGAGGTCGGCAATGTCGCAAAATACCTCCGCGATGTCCTGAGGAAGCTCACCGAGCTCGAGTCCAGACAGACCGCCAAGGTTGCCATCAAGTCCCGGGAGATCCTCATTCAGTGCTCTTTGCCCTCGCTCGATGAGCGCAAGAGCCAGATGGAGCACATATTGCGCTCGGCTGTTGTCGAGTCGCGCTACGGAGAAGCTGCCTGGGACCACCGTGAGCCCAACATCGAGGTCATCAAGGAGGTTGTCGACTCCAAGTATACCGTGTTCGACGTGCTCAGCCTCTTCTTCGCCCACGATGACCCATGGGTTGGCCTTGCTGCCCTCGAGGTTTACATCCGTCGCGCGTACCGTGCTTACGACCTGGGCAAGATTGAGTACCATAGCGATGAGACCGATGAGCCGTCGTTCGTCACCTGGGATTTCGTCATGAAGGTGACTGGTGACATCGAGTTCAGCTTCGGTGGCCCGCTGCAGTCTGCCACGCCATCGTCCCCCATCACGCCCAACGAGTTCAGCTTCGGTCGCGTCACATCGATCAGTGACATGTCGTACCTGTCCAAGAAGACGACCAAGCAGCCGACCCGCAAGGGTGTCATTGTGCCGTGCAAGTACCTCGAGGAAGCGGAGGATCTTCTGGCCAAGGCTCTTGAGACCCTGCCGTCTAAAGGCGCGCGTAAGAAGCTTGCCGGACCGGCTGCCGGTCTTATCCCAACCCTCGACGGCAAGCGCAGGCCCGCACCCATGCGCCGTGATAGTGACGACGAGTTGACGGCTGTTGTGAACATCGCCATTCACGACGCCGAGACCCTCGACGACGACGAGATCCTCTCGCGGATCAAGCCCTTCATTGCCCAGTTCAAAGACGAGCTCTTTTCCCGCCGCGTGCGACGCATCACCTTCATCTGCGGCAAGAACGACGCGTCATACCCTGGGTACTTCACTTTCCGTGGGCCCAACTATGACGAGGACGACAGCATCCGTCACAGCGAGCCTGCCCTCGCCTTCCAGCTTGAGCTCAGCCGTCTGTCCAAGTTCAAGTACAAGTCGGTGTTCACCGAGAACAAGAACATCCACGTGTACGAGGCCGTTGGTAAGGGCGTCGATTCGGATAAGCGCTACTTCACTCGTGCCGTCATCCGCCCTGGACGCCTTCGTGACGAGATCCCGACCGCCGAGTATCTGATATCGGAAGCTGATAGAGTCATTAACGATATCTTTGACGCACTTGAGATTATTGGCAACAACAACTCGGACCTCAACCACCTGTTCCTCAACTTCATTCCGACGTTCAACATTCAACCCGAGGATGTCGAGCAGGCGTTGGCCGGTTTCCTCGAGCGCTTCGGCTCCCGCGCCTGGCGCCTGCGCGTGGCTCAGGTCGAGATTCGCATCATTTGCACCGATCAGAACACCGGCACCAGGCTGCCCATCCGTGTCTACATCACCAACACGTCGGGTTACGTCGTGAAGGTGGAGCTCTACCATGAGCGCAAGTCGGAGAAGGGCGACGTGGCTCTTCACTACTTCTCGGGCACGTCCAAGACCGGCGCCCTGCACCTGCTCCCCGTCAACTCGCCCTACCCGACCAAGAACTGGCTGCAGCCCAAGCGGTACAAGGCTCACCTGATGGGAACCCAGTACGTCTACGACTTCCCGGAGCTGTTCCGCCAGGCCATCCAGAACAGCTGGAAGAAGCTTGAGGCGCAGCAACCCACGGCCGCGGGCAAGCGCCCCCAGGAGGGCGAGTGCACCAGCACCCTTGAGCTGGTCCTCGATGATCATGATACTCTCCAGCCCATTGACCGCGAGCCGGGCACCAACACCTGCGGCATGGTGGGCTGGATCATCACGGCTTTTACCCCAGAGTACCCCGAGGGTCGTCGCTTCGTCGTTGTGGCCAACGACATCACGTACAACATCGGCTCGTTCGGCCCCAAGGAGGATCACTTCTTCAACAAGTGCACCGAGTTTGCCCAGAAGCTTGGCATTCCCCGCATCTATCTGTCCGCCAACTCTGGTGCCAGGCTAGGTGTGGCCAACGAGCTCATGCCGCACTTCAAGGTCGCTTGGAAGGATGGCCAGAGCCCACAGAAGGGCTTTGACTACCTGTACCTCACGGATGCTGCCAAGAAGATGTTTGAGGAGAACGTCATCACCGAGGAAGTCAATGTCGACGGTGAGACTCGCCACAAGATTCTCACCATCGTTGGTGCCGAAGACGGCCTTGGCGTCGAGTGTCTGCGCGGTTCCGGTCTCATCGCCGGTGCCACGAGTAGGGCATACAACGAAATCTTCACCTGCACGCTGGTGACTTGCCGTTCGGTGGGTATCGGCGCGTACCTTGTCCGTCTTGGTCAGCGTGCGGTCCAGATTGAGGGTCAGCCCATCATCCTGACGGGCGCCCCTGCTCTGAACAACCTGCTTGGCCGCGAGGTGTACACCTCCAACCTGCAGCTGGGAGGCACCCAGATCATGTACCGCAACGGCGTGTCGCACATGACTGCCAACGACGACATGGAGGGCATTTCCAAGATCATGGAGTGGATGGCTTTCGTTCCTGCCAAGAGGAACATGCCCGTGCCTATCATGCCGAGCGCCGATGGCTGGGATCGCGAAATTAGCTTCGCCCCCCCGAAGCGCCAGCCCTATGACCCCAGGTGGATGATCGCGGGCAAGGAAGACGAGGAGGGCTTCCAGCCGGGCCTTTTCGATCGCGGCTCGTTTGTCGAGACTCTGGGAGGTTGGGCCAGGACCGTCGTCGTCGGCCGTGCTCGTCTGGGTGGTATTCCCATGGGTGTCATCGCTGTCGAGACGCGCTCGGTCGAGAACATCACGCCGGCGGACCCTGCCAACTCGGACTCGATGGAGCAGGTTACGAACGAGGCCGGCGGTGTCTGGTACCCCAACTCGGCCTTCAAGACGGCACAGGCCATCAACGACTTCAACCACGGCGAGCAGCTCCCGCTCATGATCCTGGCCAACTGGCGTGGTTTCTCAGGCGGCCAGCGCGACATGTACAACGAGGTCCTGAAGTATGGATCCTTTATCGTCGACGCTCTTGTCAAGTACGAGCAGCCCGTCTTTGTCTACATCCCGCCCCACGGCGAGCTGCGTGGTGGTTCCTGGGTGGTGGTGGACCCAACCATCAACCCCACGGCCATGGAGATGTACGCCGATGTGGACGCGCGCGGCGGTGTGCTCGAGCCGGAGGGCATCGTCGGCATCAAGTACCGCAAGGAGAAGCAGCTCGAGACCATGGCGCGCCTCGACCCTGCGTACGCAGACCTCAAGAAGCGCATGCTGGCGGCGCAGGAGGCGGCCAAGAACAAGGGCGCGAACATGGAGGAGCTGGAGCAGATCAAGAAGGAGATGACCAAGCGCGAGGAGCAGCTCCTGCCCATCTACCAGCAGATCGCCATCCAGTTCGCGGACCTGCACGACCGGGCCGGACGCATGAAGGCCAAGGGTGTCATCCGGGACGTCATCGAGTGGAAGGAGGCACGTCGCTTCTTCTACTGGCGTGTGCGCAGGCGGATCAACGAGGAGTATCTCCTGCGCAGCATCGCGCGCGCCACGGCCGGCGCCGCTGCTGTCTCGCCGTCGCACAAGGTCTCTACGCAGGCGCGCACTCGACACATGCAGCTGCTCTCGGCCTGGAGCGGTGTACCCGAGTTTGATCGTGCGGACCGCGAGGTGGCCACGTGGTACGAGGAGAACCGCCAGGTGGTGGCGGAGAAGATCCGGGCCCTCAAGTCGGAGGCAGTGGCGGCTGAGATTAGGGAGCTCATCCGCGGCGGCACCTGGGTGGCAGGCGAGGGCGATTCGGTGCCCGTTGCGACGGACACAACGCCGCCAACCTCGCCTCAGACGCCCGCGCCCGGCCTCAACAAAGCCGGCGTCAGCACGAGCTGGAAGGGCGTGCGCGACGTTCTGCGCGTCATGCCAGTGGAGGAGAGGGAGAAGGTGCTTCAGTTCCTGCGCGAGTAGGGGAAGGCATAGTGTTTGTCGTTGCGTAAGGTGATATGGGTGTTGGGGATTGTAAAAAGGTTCCGAGGTGGGGGTCCCCTGACTGCCCAGTCTGGCGCTTGGCGTTTGCTTACAGGATGCTCCTTTGGTGGCTTTGGACGAACGGACGAGTATAGTATAGACTCTGCGCCATTGCTTATTATTTGGATTTTCTTTTTTTTTTGCTGCTACGATAATCTCTAGGTCTTAGAAATGAACGTCTTGCGATGCATCCTATCCATTGTTTGATGTGGTTTGCCGCTTTGTCCTACCAGAGCCAAATGCGCCGCGGGTATGTTCTAACGTGCCACAGGCGTTCGTGGTGGGGTGGTAGGTAGGGCTGGGCTCAGGCTGTGCGGGTCGAATTATAGTTGGGGGCAGTGCCGCCGCTGCTTATGATGTATTACTAGCAGCGTGCTTACTACGCCCATGTAGTCATACTAAGCTTCCTATTGGCTTCTGGTTTACGGTGAAGGCGGCCGGATTGAGGTGAAGGTGAGTGTGAGCAGAGCAGACCAGTCACCGAGGGCCTCATCTTGACTGTCTTCCAAAATGTCTAGGTAGGTACTTGCTAGGTGAGCGAGCCCCTGAGCACTGGCTCTTGAGATGAGAGATCAACTTGTCAGGTCTGTCGCCTTCGGGCCCAGGCACCACGATGATGTCGGGGAATTACACGGTTTGGCCGTGATCTTTAGCACACAGAGGTCGGATTGGCTGCTTGTTTACGACGACGGCTCGCTTATTTTTAGGGCTGCCGTAGTTGCTGACGCGAACATGGTTGGTGGCCTAGCACAGCACAGCGTCATCCCCTAGCCCAATTAGGCGCATCCTCTTCCATATCGTCACACGGCCTCACTAATTGAGCTTCTAGCCCACCACATTTCCAATCTTCAGCGCGCTGCGCAGTTGTACCTGCTTGGCCGGAACCTAGACCTGCCCCCCTCAGCCCCCGGCATGCGAGATCCAGGATGTTTAGACGGGCTTGGGCTGATGGGTGTGTGTGGCGCTACGGGATGCTTGAGTTGTTGGTTACACTTTGACGGGCCCCTCAGTTCCTAGCCAGCTCCTCAGTTCCTAGCCAGCTCCTCAGTTCCTAGCCAGCTCATGAGCGAGCAGGCAACCATATTCTCTTATCTTTCATGGCTCGAGGTTTTACGAGATGCTTGACCACTTCTTCTTTTGTTTCCCCCTGTTTCATTTCATTTTTTTTTCTCTTCTCTTTTAGCGCCTCTTCCGTCTGTGTTCCAGGAGACGCTCGGAAACCCGCCCGGTAGTCTGGACCTTTTCCCCCCAGCCACCGTCTTGGACGTCCTGTGCTAGCGCCCCCTTCGCAGCGCTTGCTATTGCTATATACATACCAGGCTTGGCGAGACATTCCAGTCTCGCCCTTCCCGTCCCTTTCGCCATGAGTAGCCGGTGGAGGGATCCGGAATCCCAGGAGTCACAGCAGCAGTCGCCGCCGCAGTACAACCCAGGATACGTACCGGCCCAGTACGCGATGGACTCGAGCTATGGGAACGGGCAGCAGCCACAACACCAACAGCAGCAGTTCCAGTACAGCTCGTATGGCGACCACGGGCAGCAACCCCAGCCCTACAGCACCGTCCCGGCACGGGGGCAGCAGGTGTACCAAGTCAGCCCCGAGATGCAAGACGTGAACCTGTACTCGAACCCGCCGCCGCATCATCACCAACAGCAGCAGCAGCAATACGTGGCGCACCAGGCGGCACCGCCGCCCGGCCACCACGGCCCGCAGCAGTACACGCCCATGATGCCGACGGCGGCGTTTGGCGGCGGCGGCGGCGGCGGCGGGGGGTACCAGCTCAAGGACAGCACGCACGTCGACCAGCCGGGGGCGGCGGGCGGCGGCGGCGGCGGCGGCGGGCCGACGACCTACTCGGA